CCCCTCCCCTCTGACCTCCTCCCTGCCCCCCCCCACCCCCTTCTGTAAACATGTCTAACTGATTCCAAATAGTGGCACTGTGATAATGAAAGCCTCGGGGGTCTTCCAAAAGATGTGGACAACAGAAGGTGCCGGGGCGTGAAGTCGGTGAGATGCGGTAACTTGAAGACCAGCTCCACAAGCACAATCATTTTAATTCTGTCCATTATGCTACACGGTTTAAACTTCTCATTATAGTGCGGTTGCATAGGCTGGAGAATGGTATCGCTATGTTAAATGACTGGAGACAATCTAATTACAGATCACTGTGCTTCATAGACTTTGCTCCTGGCACTTGTGTCAAGTGCAGCACTTAAAGACAGCCTTCACCCTGCGTTAACAGGCTGGTGGCCATCAGTGCTGAAGTGCAGTGTACAACAGTTTGAGGTGGCGGTGCTAAAAGGACAGCTCCTCTGCCGCCTGTGTGTGTGCACTGTGGAGTTTATGGCTTGTTATTGCAAAGGAAGTCATAATGAAGGAATGAAAGATCCAAGAAGAGGTTTGTCTTTCCATTCTAACGATTGTTCCTACGTGGACAAAAAGCATGCATATGGTCCTAATTTTCTAATATGAATAATATGCACACTGATCTATTATTTATCTTGTTCCACTTAGTCCTTTTCAGCAGTTCTAAGGGAGCTGGAGCCAATCCCAGAAGTCAAGAGCCCCACATACAGAGACACAACAAACAACCATTCACAGTCACACCCACACCAACGGTCAATTAGGAGTGAACGATGAGCCAACTCCTGCTTCAGACCGTGGGAGGGAGCTGGAGAACCTGGAGGAAGAACACACACGGAGGGAGAACATGCAAACAAAAAAGGCCCATACAGAAAACCTACAAGTAGATCATCTGCCACCATGTGGCCCATGTGCTGCTCATTCCTAGACACACAATTTAATTTATAAATATACAAATAATAATGTATATAATAAATAAAAAATATATAATAATATATATATATATTTAAAGTACATATACATAGACATTTTGGCTAAATAAATATTTGGTATGCTCTTTTTTTTCTGAAGGTGTACTGAGTCATCCCTGACACTAGGCGGCGAAAGCGAGCAGTGAGTGTAGTAAAAGACACGAAGAAGAGATGACCGGGTGTAAACATGGCGTCTGACATGGATGATGATGAGATCGTTAGCGATGACTACTATTCCCTGCTTAATGTCAGAAGAGAGGTACAGTGATCGTCTTTAATCAGAATGAACATTTGTCTGCGAGCTTGTCGTCATTGTCACAAACTAATTCCTCAGTGCTGGTTACGTAGCGGCGTGTATGAGAGGTTGAAACTTTAGCTAGCTGGCTAGCTTGTGACCCCCGACATTGATTCGGGCTGCAGTGACAGCGACGTGATCGTTTACTAGGCGCTCAACAGGTCGATCGTTGGGAAAACGCCCAGCTGTTTCCTTCACGAAACAGTTTTAAGTCAGTAAACTTTTCGTTTCTGATTCCGGGATAGTCTCTCTCTGACACGAGACGGAGCTGCATACCGTTGCTAACGCTCCAGTAGATTTTGTCGAACTGGTTTGAGTTAAAATGTTACTTTTAAATACCTCACATTGTCATGCACAGAGGCACACAAGGAAGATTTTCTCTTTAATTTACACGTTATGCTTGAATTTGTCCTCCACACCACAGTTCCCATCCAAGCACTGGAGAAGTGACATAGAGTAATTTATATGATTTTATTCTGTTATTCTAATGTTGTTATTATTATATTATTATGTGGTTTCGGAGTAAATGGAGACCTGTGTAGAAAAGTACCATAAGAACATTGACAAAATCATTGTGTACATTCAACATAAGTTAACTTTCAATTCACTTTCCTTAAATCTTACACATTTCAACTCACATGTAATGTGTTTATTTTTTCCATTGTAGAGTTTATAGCAATGTGGCAAAAAGTTCACTATAAGAAGTTACTTTTTCCTATTTCACAGACAAAACAACAGCATGCAAGTATAAAAAAAACAACCTGCTAACCAAGTGACTCATCAGCTCAGTTAATGCATTCATGATATTCATGTGGTAACAAGGAAATTATTAATAGTACACCCTGTGCTCCCAGCAGCAGAACTAGTGAACACAGTGGTGGCTTAGTGGTTAAGGAAGCGGACTTGGGTCCAGAAGGCTTCAGGTTTGAGTCCACCAACTGTCACCACTGAGCGTGGCACCGCCCCCCTGGGTGCTTGCCCACTGTTTACCTTTGTGATGGGTTAAAAGCAGAGTTCTGTGTCACAATGACAAATAATTCACTTTCACTTAGTTGTGTTAAACAAATCCACCCGTGTGTTTGTTGGTGGTTGTTTTTTTTTTAACTTTTTTTCAATATTCTGCTGCAGGCCACACTCCACGTGTTTGTTGGTGGTTGTTTGTTTTTTTTAAACTTTCTTTTTCAATATTCTGCTGCAGGCCACACAGGATGAACTGAAGGCAGCGTACAGGCGGTTGTGCATGCTCTATCACCCAGACAAACACAGAGACCCTGAGCTGAAGCAACAAGCGGAACATCTTTTTAACCTGGTACATGAAGCTTATGAAGGTGAGGAAGGTTTACCACTGTCCTGATTATATTGATCGATTATGAAACGACAAATCAAAGTTAGACTTTCACTGTTACGGGAGTGCAGAGATCCTCAGTATGGTTGAGAGGTCCCTTAAAGTTGGAAACTAGTGAATGCTATCGTGCAGTGTGATTATGACTGGTCACATAAATATGTTCATATGTATGTAAGTTGCTTTTGGCTATTTTTTAATGACATGTAAAGGTCATGCATAAAGGCTAAAATGCTTTTATCAATTTCTACGCCATCTGTTGGGGAAACGTGGGTATTGCAGGGAAAAAGGCAGTAGTATAATAATAATATAAATGTATATAATTTGGAAAGGTTTGGCGGGCCGGATCCAGCCCCCAGTTCTTAGTTTGCCCATGCCTGTTATAGACAATGGTTCCATTTAATTTAGAATAAAAGCTGATAAAAACCTTTCCTTGCTGAAAGCCGACTGGTCTACAAAAGAAAATGATCCAATAAGGAGACTGAATATGCTGAATGTTCGTAACAGTTTTGATGTGTCAATTAAATTATTTAATCAGTTATAATGAAACAAATACAAACAAGGGGTGAATTTTACAGGAAAACAAACAAAGTGTGACCTCTCCAGTCAACATGAAGGCATGTAGCGACTTCAATGTATCGCCTGCAGATATTCACGATGGTCCTACTCTACTTCTTTCTAGTCCTCAGTGATCCACAGTCACGAGCTGTTTATGATATCTACGGCAAGAGAGGACTTGATGTTGAAGGATGGGAGGTAAGTAACCAGCCCACCACAATAGGAATCACTGATTATTATTATTGGGTAAATCGAAGGTACAATTCCGATCTGCTTCACAGTGGAAGACTTGTTTCATAATCCAGACTGACTAAACTTGCATAAAATGTGTGTTAAGTGTTCATTAAAAAACTCGGTACAAAGTATAATTTTACACCTACAGAAAATATCAGAGCCTCCGAAACAAGTTTAAAGTTTTTTTTTTTTGTTTTTTTTTATCTGCATCATCTGAAGCCGCCAATCCTCCCTGCTCTTCACATCATACTCTGTCTCCTTGCTCCAGGTGGTGGAAAGAAAAAGAACCCCCGCTGAGATCCGAGAAGAGTATGAGCGTCTTCAGAGAGAGAGAGAAGAGAGGCGGCTGCAGCTACGGACCAACCCAAAGGTACGTTAGGGAAAAAAAAAAAGAAAGAAAGAGCTCAAGCCTCATGTTAAAAAAAGTTCAAAGTCCTGAAGTATCCACTTTCTGCACATGGTTAACGAACGCGCAATTCGTTCCTGAATTCACAGGGAACAATTACTGTAGGCATCGATGCCACGGACTTCTTTGATCGCTACGATGACGAGGAGGAAGACATGGTTCAGAGCGGGATCCCTCGTCTGGAAATCAACAGGATGCACATATCACAGTCCATAGAGGTGACGGCGTAGTCTTTGGTGTGATTTTCATAAAACATTGCCGTAATGTTAACGGGGAAAGATGTCTTTCTTCTCTCTCTCAGGCTCCACTCACAACAAAAGACACAGCCATCTTGTCCGGCTCCTTGTCCACCCACAATGGAAATGGAGACGGCAGTATTAACCTGACCCTGAGGAGAACCACCTCAAATAAAGGCTGGGGAGAGGTATGACACACCCTGTAGCATGCACTGGTATATGCTTGTCAATGTATTTCTGTGCGTGACGTATGTTGCGATAATATCATTCATATAAACATATTTAATCTTGTCTCTTAAGATTTTTGGCAGTTTCTCTTCTCCGTGTCTTTATCTTCACCCTGATCCATCGCTCTAAAGGCCCCGCCCCCTATCCCTAACATATATCGCATATCGTTATTTGTCAAACAAATATCAAGATATGATTTTCTGACCTCCTCACCCAACAGGTGAGTAACCACTGCTTCTCTTACGTCTACTCAGATAGAGTTCGATGTTGGAGACTCACACAGACCTCTGATAGGATTGAAGATCTTCCGAAACTTGACGTCGAGATTGTACGTTTTTTACGACCCACATTAAAGTTGTTGTATATTTTTTATCGAGTTAAAGCCTAAAGAATTTTGTTTTTTGATCTCCACGTCCTCAGTTTTGTGACTGCACAATGTGGGCTTCAATTTTCATCCCGAGGAGTGCGTCCCGGGTTGACCACGGTCCTGGCCCGTCAGCTGGACAAGAACACTACAGGCTATCTTCAGTGGAGAGTTGGGATCCAGTCCTCAATGAACACTAGCATAGTCCGTAACTCAGAGAGCAGCCATTTCAAATTTGCAATGCAGGTGAGTGACTGGCAGTTCTATCAGTCCGCCTAGACCCGACCCGACCACACGGACTGAGGCTGACCTTTGACTTTTGTGTCTGCAGCTCGGGCTTCCTCACACTTTTATGATGATGAGCTACCAGTACAAATTCAAGGACGATGATCAGACGAAAATAAAGGGCTCAGTAAAGTACGCTGCAGATTTAAATACTGAACCCAAAGTCATTCAGAAGTAGTAGAAGTCCAGAGGTAATGAGTAACTGCTGGTGTCTTTGTGTTACAGGATGGGTTTCTTTGGGACAGTGGTCGAATACGGCGCCGAGAGAAAGATTAGTCGACACAGTGTCCTGGGGGCCACTGTGAGTGTGGGAGTGCCCCAGGGAGTCTCCCTCAAGATCAGGTAAGTGTTTCTTTACATGGAACTTTCCAGTAGGTTGGTTTGGCATTGTAGCTGCCGCAGTGGTGACAAACCAGGTGGTAAATTACAGTTAGTTAGAAGAAACAAGTTTTGATATTTCATCAACTTAAACTAAATTTGAAATAAAACTGACTAAACTGAGACCAAGACTAAAAAAAACAGAATAAGGGAAGTATTTTGCTTGTGTTGCAAGAAATTATAAAATTTTTGTACTGCATAATTTTCTAATTTATGTTGTAATTTTCCTTTCCTACTAAAGGAGATTAGTCCATTGTACACATTGGCATGGTGGAATACTGAGAAATTAAAAATCCTAAAAAGAGAAGAAGTTGTGTTCGCACTCAGACAAATATAATGAGCCCAGACTTCTACCTGCAGACTAAACAGAGCCAGCCAGACTTACTTCTTCCCGATCCACCTGACTGACCAGCTCCTGCCAAGTTCTATATTTTACGCCACAGTCGGACCATTGGTTTTCTACCTCGCAGTACGGCAGCTGGTTATTCGGCCCTACCTGCAGGCCCAGAAGGAACAGTAAGAAAGCTTTTCTTTACTGAGTCGGTTGATTCATGCAAGAGGAGGGCAGAGCGTTATTATGGCCATATTTTTACGAGCTAATTTTATTTGTCCATTCATCTCCTAACTCAACAGAGACTTGGAGAAGCAGCGGGAGAGCTCAGCCACTAATATCGCCAAGAAGAAACAGGAGGCAGAGGCCGCGGTGAGTGTGTTTACCTGTCAGCGTGGCATCAGGCCGACAGCTTCAGATAAGGATTACACCCAATTTCAGCATTGGAACAAATGGGTTCAGATTTGAGTGGATGAGATCGGATGCAGATTTCTGGAAAATTCTCACTGTTTTTGTCGTTCTCCTTTTTGTTCCCTCTACAAAGGTGTTACTCATGCAAGAGTCTGTGCGTAGGATTATAGAAGCCGAGGAGTCGAGAATGGGTGAGATATATAGAAATCTAAATTTCATTCATTCAGTGGATTGTTTCTTTTAGCTTTTGAATTACGTTGCGGTAAAATGGGTCAATATTTTTACATAAGAAAAAAACATTTTATATATAGTTTTACTGTCATGTAAATTATTCCGTCTAGATGGAAACAATGAGACACACAAGCTAATAAACGAAAATCCATTCCTTGATTCTATATTAAGATTTTAGCATTTGACTTCTGCCTTCTTTTATATGAAACAGATCTGGTTATTACAAAAAAAATATTTTGATCAAGAAAAATGTCATTTGGCTGCTCTGCATATATTTCCCAAATGTTTGGAAAATAAATTGGCAGATTTGTTCAAATCATGGCTGCAAGGACAGGTATGCAACAAAAAACATACTTACTAGTACTAGTTAAATAAAATATTGTACAACTAGATCGTGTGTTCTATTCATTTCCAACTTTTCTTTAATCCCAGTTTTCCTTGTTGTTTAATGTAGGTCTCATCATTCTCAACGCCTGGTATGGAAAGTTTGTTACAGACAACAGTAAAAAACACGAGAGGGCCAAAGTCATCGACGTTACTGTGCCGCTGCAGTGTCTGGTGAAAGACTCCAAACTCATCCTCACCGAGGCCACAAAGGTAACGCATTAATCCTCAACTCTCCTGATAAACAAAGGAGTTTTTTTTTCCTCCCCCACTGTAATCTAACTGTATCTGTTTATACAGTGCAAAGTATTTCATACTTAACATGTACAAAGTGACAAACTTATGTCCTCATCTCGCTCTATGATGATTGCCTCTGCTGCCGGTGCATGATGTGATGCTTCGCAGTCTGGGCTCCCTGGCTTCTACGACCCCTGCGTGGGGGAGGAGAAGAGCCTGAAGATGCTGTATCAGTTCCGCGGAGTCATGCATCAAGTCCTGTCAGGAGACTCCGAACCACTCAGGATACCCAAGCAATGTAAGTCCTTTAGTGCACTATACATCAGTGTGACTGCTTCGTATGGGGATGTGTTGTCTATCCACTCCCATTACTGTGGTGTTTAGCGTCTTCAGAGCAGATTAATGATTTAGTAGATTGTATATTGCCTCGAATTACCTTACCAAATAACCCCTGCTTTAGCCGTTTCTGGTGGCAGGGGGGTTTTTTACTTCAACTTTATGTCGTTATAGATGTCTTTGACGCAACAACCCAGAATATTTTGTCACCTCCTTAATGCCACTGAGCTGTTGTCTCCCTACCACCTTCACGCTCCTGCCACCATCTTTATTTTTATCCTCTTTGTTTTTGTTTCCCCGCTGCACAGCCCACAGGATTGACGCCGACACATAGACTCTCATCTGCTGACCAAAAAGACTTGCAGCTGTTCATCAAACGTTGGATGAACCCATTTTAAATACGACACGGATTTATTTCCCTTGGTTTTTTCCAGAAATTGTGCATTTACTGTTTATTTTTGTCTTGATGTTTGTTTTGAATATGCAGAGCGCAGTAAAAGAGTCACATACTAGGTGATAATTGAGTATCCACAGACAGGATTGAGGCTTGTTTGAAATTCAAATGCAAGGCCGAAATCAATGGCTGCCATCCCACCTCCGGAGTCGTCCTGTCTCTTTGGTAGCTTTCTGTTTTTGGTATGGCTTGTAATTTATAATAAAGTTTTATGTACTGCTTTGTACATGAACTGCAGTGCCTACGTGATTGAAGACTTAAATGCACCTGTCAATTTGCCATATTATTAAAAAAACAAACAAGAATCTGTCATGTTGTGTAATGCTGTGTTACTCTGCAAGTTTTTTATGTGAAAGAGTTTTTTTGTTTTGTTTTTTAAAAAAGTGTTCAGCTCAAAATGTAGAATAATATAAATGCAACAGAAACCTCTATAGATGATAGCTAGTTAGCGAGCGAGCTAGTTAAAACAAGTAAATCAGTCTGTTCGGTATTTAAGCCATACACAATAAGTTTGCTACAAATTCAGAACTGTAACAAACACATTTCTGACTAATACGTGTCGAGGGTAACTATGGTGATGTACAGCAGAACAACGTTCCAACTTTTCCCCGGAAAAATGCTGCGATATGACCCAAGTGCTACGAGTCTTTTAATTACTGACAGTACCAGCAGTTTACATACGTTAGCGCTGAGCTCCGACGATCCTCGTTTATCGTGTGAAAGCGATCTTTTTACTAAATGCTACATACACTTAAGATTTGTTTTGAGGAATTTCGATATTTTGTTACCTGTCAATAAAGGTGCCATATCCAATTACATTTTTCGTACCGAAAACGTACTGAATCATAATTTTAATACTGAGCTACAGACACTAAGGAATCGTTGCACTCTTAGCGCTAATGCAAAACAATGTGAGAGAATTGCACGTAGTTTATTATTGTTATAAGTTTATTAATATCTTCTTTTTTTACATATAAATATATATATTGGGTCGTTTATAAATCTTTCCAGAATGTGTTTTCTGGTTTCCCTTTATACCAAAAGGTACAAATGGACTACTGTTTTGCCTGCGCTACCACCTAGCTTCATCGAAAAACACAAGTGGATCCTGAAAAGTAACTAACTCAATTTTCCTTTCGATTAATTCAAATAATTATTGGTTTTAGGAATCAATATTTCTCTTATTGATTCGACTGTGCTGTGATTGTTGAAAAAAACAACTCACCTCGTTTTAATCAATATGTAGGTAAATGGCTAAGGTTGTCTATGTCTAGCTTGTCTGTGTGCTAAAGTTTGAATCTAACTTCTGTCCAATCCAAAACCATTTGAAATTTAGGGTCAATAGATATTTTTAAATCACTGTATAACGTCAAAAAAGTACATTATATATTTATTTGGGTTCGGAATGACCCCAGGGACAACATAAGGGTTAAATGCACAACTCACAGAAAACGTTATGCATACATTTGTAGGCTAAAAAAAAGTTAAGCAGCATGAAAAATGTACACAGAGATTTATTACTTACAGTATCCAGTCTCCTGTGGGACTCGTTCATTTATCTTCTACCGCCTTTACACTTCCCAGGGCCTCTAGGGGGAGCTGGAGCAAATTCAAGCAGACATCAGACGTCCTGTGGGACTAAACCAACCTAAACTAAACCAACTCTGCTAATTTTCCCAGCCTTGCCACTTTTTGTATTTTACTGCAGCGCTGAGGCCTTGGTTTGCATTTGTGTGCCAGTATCGTGTAAGTTTTTTTTTTTTTGTACTAATTAACGTGCAGAAACAGTATAACATTAAATGTCCCTCTTTAGTTAGTTAGGGCATAAATTAGTGACATGATATTTTTTTGCATTTATAACCAGGAGAATACTAAACTAGTGAGAAGAAAGTGTAAAAGACTAGAAACTATACTACTATCACATCGGCTTTACGGCACCAAGGAATCGATTTGCTGCGTCATTTGAGCGTCAAGCACCGCCTACGCGGCTTTCCTCCTGGGTGTACTGTTGTGAATAACGAGCGAACCCTGTGTGAACCGGGCAAGGTGGTGAATGTCTCTCTGGAAACCAATTGTCTGTGTCACTAGTTTATTCATAGGCACGTAAATGAAAATGAAAGTTATTACTGGCGAGATTAGAGGACTCGGAAGCAGCAATGTGTTAGACTTAGAGACAAAAGAGACATTTATATCGCTGCATTTAGCCCAAAATAGCGTCACTGCGATCAGCACTTCCGGTTTTTGGTGATTTAAGAAAGATGACTGCCGTCTAAAACGCTCTGTATGTAGATGCGTGTACTTTGGTGACAAGTACGTATCGTGTAGTACACATTTCAGTTCAACTGCAGGGAGTTGTACTTTTTTAGGCTGTATCTGTGGAATGAAGAGGAAAAGCAACGTCTATGGGCGTTTTCCAGAGCACTGAATCCCCTTCTCTCCGGATCAAGTCTTCAGAAGAAAAGATCTCGTCTACTGACGAAGATGTAAGTTTCTCTTTAACACACTGACACCATCGAGCGAGACAGTGGCCTTCACGTGACTGCAGCAAGTCTGACAACAGTCCGTGAAGCAGTAGTTCCTAGATTCAAACTAACTACCCAACATTCAGAGACGTTCCAGGTAGAAACACACACACAATATTTACATATATATAGTTTATAGATGTAATATATATGTGCGTGTTTGTACATTTACATGGGTGTGAACATATAAAAATATAAGTATACGTATATATACGCGTAAATATATATACGTACATACATATATGAGAGAGTTAGATGTAGGCCTGTTTTATTTGTGACTAATCCAAATGATGGAATTATTGAAATTGAATGATGTCGACAAATTGCTATATATATATATATATATATATATATATATAATATGTAATAAAAGGTGAAACAAAAAATGCACTCATTTGGGATTTTAGTCATTGCTGTCTAGAGTAGTACTAGAATCTGTTGTTCTCAACAATATTATTCAATGTACAGCCCATATATATATATATATATATATATAGTCCATATATATATTTATATGTGCGTGTATTTATATATAGGAATATATATGTTTGTATGTATATATTTATGAATGTCTCCATATATATAGTCCATATATATATATTTATATGTGTTTGTATGTATATATTTATGAATGTCATGGAGTGGAATAACCCACACGCTCTTTATTGACCTTCTGTCTCTTGTGTTCATGGTCAGATGTTCCCTCTGCCACTAGAGATCTTGGAAGAGATCTTCCTGAATCTTCCTCGCAATCAGGTGGTTCTTACTTGTCGGTTGGTGTGCTCTCGGTGGAAAGTAGTGGCCGACAGTGAATCTCTGTGGAAGGAGAGGTGTAGAAGAGAAGGCTTGCACCTCCGCGATGGCTCCAGGATACCAGAGGACTGGAGATTGTTTTACTTCTTGTGCAAGAAGAGGAGGAATCTGATCAAGAATCCGAAAGGGGACCGTAAGAATTTACCAAGTCTGCTGTTTAGACATGTTTGACTCCCTGTTGATCAAGAATTGAATTTCTTTTCATCCAAACTATTTCATATTCCTACAGGCAAAATGGAGGACTGGGTGATACAGGAGAATGGTGGTGATGGGTGGAAACTGGAGAAACCAATGGTTCCTCATCCAAATAAGACAGTCCTGAAGAACTTTGTGACCTCCTACGGGTAACTATGCTCCAGGCAGTATGATTGTCAGTACGTCATTTGTTTAGAGCACACTTATATTATCACAGTATGGATGCTGAAACAGCCGTGTCCCTCTCCAGCATGTGCAGGAAGGTCCAGCTGATTGATTTGGTGAAGGAAGGTTACAGCCCAGTGTTTATGGACACATTCCAGCCACACATCAAAATATCTGATTGGTGAGAAGATGACTAATGCCCTAGTGAGCTCTAAAGCAGAGGTTCTCAAAGTAGGGGGTGGGTCCACTTAGATGACATGAAGTTATTGGTATGCAGCAAATGAAAATTTAAATTTCCCATTTTGTACTTTGTGTAACTTCAGGTACGCACCACGGTCGGACTGTGGCAGTCAGTACGACATCTGTGTTGAGTTGCTCGATGAGAAAAAGAATCGCATCCAGGCATTTGCGCCGGAGACCGTTGTCTTTGAGCAGTGGAATAATCGGAAATGGAATCAGGTCAGTGCTGAACATGAAACCTAAATGAACAGAGAGTCCAAGAAAACTCCACGAAGACCAGGGAGAAATTTAAAACCTTTTTTTTTTGTGTGCGTGTGTTTCAGGTCACTCATGTTTTCCAGAACTACGGCCCGGGTGTGAGATTCGTCAGGTTCACTCACGGGGGAAAGGACACTCAGTTTTGGGCGGGGTGGTATGGTATACGTGTCACTGACAGCTGTGTTGAGATTTGTCCTGCAGAGTGCTAATAGTTACCATCCAACATCGACTGCCTGTAATCCCAATTTGCATATTATGTTTAGACTTAACTTGTCATTTCGCTAAAGATGTATAGTTTGTAAAGTAATCAAACGTTTCTCCAAGAAGTTCTCCCTTTACCTGGAACTAATCAATTCCTCATCATGTTAGCTAGTTCAAACATTGGTCAGGTCTCAGGTCTTAAGTGGCATTGTGTCACAGTTCAATGAACTATGTATAGAACCAAAGGAGATTTAAGGACATCTCTGTTCTGAGGATTATCTTCTCTCTTTGCTAATCGCAGGCTGGTGATTGAATAATAATGTGTATTTGTACTTTGTACGTCTGCCAGTTGATTGGAAAGCATCAACTGAAAGTATGTAAACCCTGCAAAGCTTTGCACAACAGTCGGTGGCTTGCACTACTGGAGGGATCTTAGCACTAGTGTGCCAGAAGTTCCAATGTCTCAAAAGTATGTCATGCATTTTGTCTTATGTAAAACTAAAATGTAACATTAAACAAAACCATCATATAAACACCTCTGTCGTCTATGGAGGGAAGTTAAACGTAACACATTCACGACTGACGACATTGAAGTTTTGGAAGTGAGGTTTATTATTAATACTGGTTTATTGTGACGTTTTATCACAGACAAGATACAGTACAACTGCGGTATTGAACTGAATAAAAACAACAAAGGCCCAGAAACATGGAGCCCTCCTGGTTAAAACCATTTCTGTCTCATGTCAACGTCCTGTGATCGGTAACAACCCACAATCCAGTCTGTAAATATAATTTGTCTATTTACAAATCAAATTTTTTGAAAGTCTTTTAGATGAGGATATCGGTGGACAAAGGCAATTTTTTTTAGTTCAGTCTTCGTGAATAAATAACTCGTATAACACTTTTTTTTCCTTTCAACAACTGTCTGTGTTGTTGCTAAGCTAGCGCTAATGCTGCAGCAAATAGTCTGATGTTTAGTGACTCCTGTTTTTATCTAATTGTCAGTTTCTGTAACATTGTCTACATATTACCTTGATGTAAAGTCAAACTGCTATGATGGATATTATTGCACTGTTCTTACAGCTTTAGGAGAACAACTCCTCTGGTTCTAGTCTTCTCACCTTTGACCCTTAATGACAAGAGCACAAGATCAATGAGTCCCTGTCTTGGAGTTGCAGTTTTTTTTAAATAGTAACCAGGGTTAAACTCGCGGTATAAATGAATAAAGGAACACAAAATATTGATGAGTCACAAACCACTAACAAGCTCGTGTTTTACAGGAAAGCTGTACAAGAGTTGGATGCACTAAACAAACAAAAAAATTGTTTTGCAAGAATACTTCAGTAAAAACGTGTGTACAAAGTGGCCAATCTCAAACATAATAATGTATGTTAGGTGTCCATTTGATGCAAGACCTTTTTTCTGTTTTAGAAAATCAGCTGTTACTTCACGTATCACACGCGCCGTGTGTACAGGTTTATCTGGTCAGAAGGCATTTTCACAACATCTCGGAATGTGTCGGTGCAGGTAAAACTCTTCAATACTATTAACCTGGATATGGAACGTAGTACGGGGTGAAGGCTGAGTTCAAACCTAGAGCAGAACACATTTACGTCTTTTCTTAGGTTCTGGAGGCTCCAGGGCAGCCAGGATTGCCTCATCAAACACATTCTTTAACCCTTTCTGTGGAAAGAAAACAACATTCAAAGCTCAAACAAAGCAAACAATGGCTCAAATACACAACGCACGTGATGAGGAAGAAAAAAAGAAGGCGGAAGAGGAAAGGAGCAGGAGATCAAAATTGTCCTTTATTCAAATAACATATACAAGACTCATGATCAAGAAGTCAAAAGCTTATGGAAATTGTTGACGCTGCAGTAGGAAAAAAGGTTAATACTGTCTCCGGAGAGACTGTAGATGCTTTGTAGCAGGTTAACTGCAGTAACAAAGGGAAGGAACTAAACATTGGCACTTTTTATTGAGTTAGACAGCATCAAAGGTTTAGACCACGTCAGGTTGAAGAGTCCGGTGAGCAGCCCGGGCACCGAGTTTAGGTTTAAAAGAGCATTGGCGTTATTGAAGTGACAGACTTCAAAAATGAGTAAAGCAGCAGACGTTTGAGAGGAAAAGCAAAGATGCAAAAAGACATCAGAACAAGCAGCACTTTCTCTTTCTCTGAGTTTCGGGGGGCTCTAAAGCGGCTAGGATAGCCTCGTCAAATACGTTCTTCAGTCCCCGCTACAGAGAGAGCAAAAACAAGGCAGAAAGACAGGCACACAACACGGTTAGACTGAGGTATTAGTGGAAAGGATGTTAGCAGAGAGACCAAGCAAAGCATTGTTAGGAATGAGGAATTTGAACACACTGTCAGGAAACACCCTTGTTTGAAGGAAGTCCTTACCTGTGTTAAAGCTGAGCATTCAACATATTTGACTGCCTTAAGGTCACGGGCCAGTTTTTCTGCTGTCTCAGGGGTGATGGGCTTCTGTTTGTTCTTGGCTAACTTCTCCACTGTGGAGGGGTCATCACGCAGGTCAATCTGAGTGCCGACCAATAGGAATGGGGTCTTGGGACAATGGTGAGTTATTTCAGGAACCCACTAAAACGGAAGAAAAAAATGTCCACTCAACATTGGCGTAATTTCAACATCAGACCGACGCTCATTAAGTGGAGGCCGTTAAAAGTTACGTGTCTATGGTCAGGAAACAGAAATGTAACCGCTAATACAACAAGTATTTAATCATCGTTACTGATATGACCAAAATGCTAACTGTTCTACTTGAGTAATGACGACTTGTATTTGCCATATCATTGACCTGAGGACAAAAAAAGCTGAGATGTAGATCTTTCCATACATACAATATACATATAATGGCACAAGTTTAAGTTTTGATTACATAAACAACCAATGTCATCATTTAACTTTTACTGAAACAAAAGTTTTCATTATTATTACAACGATGTCTTGGCTCTGTAGCATCTACAGTTCTCTACCAGTCTTATCAGTACTTTTAAGACTAACTAGGCCTAGAAAAGTTTCTGCCTCCGTACTTTACTTTTTGTTTGTCCTGATGGAGCTGAGTCTAATAAAACAGCGTACGCTAATGACAAAAGTTGTGATCTGATTAGATTTGTCTGCACTGTTGACTTTTTTTACTCACCTTTTCTTTAACATTTTCAAACGAGGATGGTGAAACAACTGAAAAGCAAACTAAGAAGACATCTGTTTGAGGGTAGCTTAGTGGTCGTAACCTGTCATAATCCTCCTGACCTGTAAAAAAAAAATTGTAATTTTTTACATTAACATAATCTGAGAGACTACACAAAGTCAGTCCTGCCTTGTAAAATTTGCATTAACATAATCTGAGAGACTAGACAAAGTCAGTCCTGCCTTGTAAAATTTTATTTAGCATACCTGCTGTGTCGAATAATCCGAGAGTGTAAGGTTCTCCTCCGATCATTACAGTGACAGCATAGTTGTCAAACACCTAGAGGGGAAAAAATGAAGTGAACATCTCGAAAAGTTTTTTATTTTTATTTTGACCATGTTGTCTGCCTGTAGGCCTGTGGCTGTATGCACAAACAAAGTGTACTTACTGTTGGTACGTACTCAGAGGGGAATTTGTTAGTGGTGTACGAGATCAGTAGGCAGGTTTTTCCGACTGCTCCATCACCCACCACCACACATTTGATAGTCTGCATCTCTGTGCTTTCAGGTCAGCTGCAAAGACAATAAACATCTCAATTTATTAAAATGTGTATTTTTATTAATTGTGAAACTACTTCAGGGAGATAAAAAAACTGCTGGTCATTAAATAAAGATAGGTCCTGGGAAATAAACTGCGGAACACAAACATCAACTGGGTAAAGTGTCACACCCCACCACCAACAACACTGAGTCGATGCTAACATTAGCCCATGACGGGGATACTCATTTCCTGTCGCTCCTAACACTTGTAATTGTCATTTTTAACTTAATAATAAATAGCAATTAAACTGAGAAAACAGCAAACGACATAGCTTATTTTAGCAGCCCCAGTGGTATGGCTGAAAATGGTCTAATAGGCTAACAGGTTAAGAGACTGCAGCGTAACAGAATGCTAGGTTAGCATCCGGGTGGCTAACGCTGAGGAGTAAGCGAAGAAGAGCCTATTGGTCCTATAACAGAAAAAATCGTTGTCAAAATTGGTAGATGCTAAAAAACAAAACCTATAGATGTTATAAAAAATAATATGCAAAACACTCACCGACGCCTCAATGTCTCTAAAGTTAGCTGTCTATTCCTATTTACACCGGATATGACCTTCAGAATAAACATCTATTGGTCGAGAAATTTGTCAAAGAAAAATAAGGCCATCCTGTTGAACTTTTTTATGTATATATTCTGCTGTTTATATCCATACTTATATCTGTGTTTAAAATAATATTTTACATGATCGCTTCGTGTCCTGTCTCATTTCCTGTGCATACATTTAAACTGAAGGTCTGTGCGTGTGTTGGTTAGCTTCACAAGAGTAGGGGCCAAAAAAAAGAAGTGACGTCACCTTTCCAGTCTTCTCTTCATCCTGCATCCTTACCTGATCTGCATCTAGGAGATGTTAATTTTTTATAATAATGTTTTGACCAGCAAAACCTAAAATGTAGTATTTTTCACATATTAATAGTAAATCGTAACTGCATTAATTATTTCAGTCAACATATTCGCTGACATGTGGTGCAGCATTCACACGCCTTCTGTCAGTTAACTCTTTTTGTCATGTTGTGACTGGGCAAGATTTGAGATCCACCCCCGCACCGCACTATATTCCACTGCCAATTTACATAACTCACACAAAAACTAAATGACTTCGACCATTCGTTCGTTTAAAAAAAAATGCATGTTGCAAATCAAAATGGTAGGTAACAAGCAGAATAAATTAGAAAAAATAAATAACAACTCTCAAGGCAGAAATCTGCTGCACAACATTTAATGGATTTGTATTTGTGATCCTAGACAGGATTCAAATGTGACAAAAATGCATGCCTTATTTTATTCTTGTACAATTTTTGTCAACATCACATGATATTTCAGAACATTTTTCTAACATGTTTCTTCCACCACACAAAAAGATGCACTGATACCAAACAGCACAACATGACTGCAAAGAGAACCCAGCGTAGAGTCAACCACCACCTGGGAACAAAGAGATACATACAGTATATTCATTTTTGGTTTGCAGTGATATTAATTAGTATTTAATCTGTGAAAATACCTTCCAATATGTTCCACTTGTGAAATAGAAGTAGGGGCTACTGTAAAAAAAAAAAAAGAAAAAAAAGTTAAATGTTGAAAGACATATCAGCCCTGTTTTTTAGGGGTTTTTTTCTAATTATTTATAGTAAGTATTTGTAAGGGAATGTATTATTTTTTGTATCCTACATTTTATATTAAAATTGACATAAAAAACTAACTTTTAGGTGAACCTAGATACAAATTTGCATGTAAACGTATGACACTGGAGGCTAGAAAATATATGTTACTTGCTGATAATAATATGAAAACCAGTAATAATTATAAGAAATTCTTACACAAACAAGTAAAGAATCTAATTAGAGGCATACAACTTTTGAAGTCAAGTTCTATAAGATTTTAACTTTAGTTTTTTGTTGTTGTTGTAGTTATGTTTTAAAATGAAACAAGAAAGTCTTGTGGTGTGTGTTAGTCAGTCCTACCTGTTGGGTTGATGAAGAGATTTACGACACTGTAAAAACGATTGAACCTTTCTGGGCTGCCAACGCCACACCTGTACACACCAGCATCACTCTCTCTGAGTGATGTCATAGTTACAGTGAAAACGCCGGCCTCTTCATTATCTTTGATGAAACTGTAACCAGGCTTTGTCGTTGTACACCAAAAAAACATGAGTTCTTTGCACCAGTACTTTTCCTGCCCTCTCAGCCGACTGTCGTAGTAACAGCGGACCGTCACTGATCCACCCTGTGCTCCATAGACGGCCGTGGGAGCTGACACTTGACCTGAGTCCGCCCACCGGATGAGACACAAAACTAGACAACACAGAGTAAATTTCTTTGTACAATGTTTACACAATATTAGCCAACCACATCAAATTACCACATCATAAAAAAGCTTCATTCTTTTTTTATAATTACCTTTAACAAAACCAAGAATCACCCCGGTGAGAGTCATGGTGGATCTGTCAAATGTAGAGGAGAGTGTAGGCACGTCCAAAGACTTCCTGTAAACTGTGTGAAGGATGTGCAAAACGCACTCTTGTGGTGTGTGGCTTGTATTGCTTAAATGAGCATGGTTGTTGACACACAAGGGTTTGGAGTTTGCCTTCAGCTTTTCGTAAACTTTGAGGTTTGAAGACATTAACCTTTGTGGGCACCAGGTGGCACTAGAGACCAATGTTTGTAAAGATACGTTTAATACAATACAATTTGTCCCTGTGACGTAAGAGGTCAAAAAAAGTTCCAGGATAAATTGTAAAAATCCTTTACACTCAAGGGGTACCGGAGAAATGTCCCCCACAAGGACAGAGTCTCCCAGAAACTATTGTTAACGGGATACTCTGTCCCCACAAGTATAGCTACACTAGAAACACAGACATGCAATCAACTAAATCAACCATGACTCTCGATATTACTTTTTGGAGGCAAAATCACGGGTTCCGTCTATATGACAAATGCAGGCGTAAACTAAAGTTTACATATAATCGGAGAATATAAAGTGATTATGTCAATTTTTGGAACATTCATATAATCGGAGAATATAAAGTGATTAATATAATATAGTGTAACCCAAACATTTCACCCCAAAACAGGGTTCTTTAATGTGATGGAAAGATGAAGCAAGGATCCTCCACTATATTTATTCTACAAAATTTGTACAGTTTTATATTTGACCTCGTGCCTTAATTACAAATAAGTCATTTCTTATTTTTCAATCACTCCGAAGTAATTAAAATGAAACATGGGTGCAAATGTTTGTGTTTTAATTTTAAATATATGCAAAATATTTATTTAAAAAAGAACAGTTAAAATAAATGTCATGTCCCCTCTGCAGTACCGACCCATAGGTGGCGTTAACATCCTGTTGAAAGCTTGGGCCGAAGAGCGTTGATAAAACCATGTTTGACCGGCATAAATACGTACCATGATTATATACCATGAATTTAAATAAAACAACAAAATTGAATCACGTTTTATGCTGATGATACATATACAAATCTAGACTTGTTTTTGTTTTTGTTAAAAAAAACCATGTGGTGGGTTTCAGCCTGTGTTCATCTGTCCTTTTCTTACTCAGTACTCAGTGACCGGTTGTTTGTGTTGCAGCTGGTTTTTAATCTGCAGTTATATATTGACTGGTTTAAATGTTTAAAGGCAACTTGTGCCTGTGCAGAAATCTTGTCAATGAAGACGTGAGGCCAGTGTGGTCTACACTGTGTTCTCATACAACTCAAACTCTTTTAATGACACAACAAACAAGTATGTTTTTCATTTTCCATGAACAAAAAAAAAGGAAAAAAAAAGGAAACATACACACAACAACATAAAAATACATAAGGGTGTATGTTCTAACATATCACAAAATGCTTGTGATTGTGATTTAGGGGAGAATTTGAAACAAAAACAAAAACACCACTCTGGTCAAATAACTTATTTTTGATTTTTCAACACCATAAAACCCACATCAGCACATTGCAGGCTTGGGTAAAAAATTTTAAAGCCTTTGTGACAAATGACTGCAATATATTTTTTTTAATGTCCCGTTGTAAAAGTACAAAGCACAGCTGCTGCCTCTTTTAGCTATTCTCTTTCTCCTCTTTCTGTTCCGTCTTGGCAGATCCACTTGACTCCGGCGCTGCTTCCTCAACCATGGCGGACTTTTTGGATGTTCCTGTTGGTTATGCAGGGTTTAAAACATGAGAATTATACAGTATGTGGTAAACACACTTCTACCGCAGGGTTTTATGGACGTTTCCCCGTTGCTGTACCTGTGAGGTAGTTTCTGTGCATGCGATGGAAAAGAAGGAGACCAATGAAAAGGATAAATCCCAAGCAGGCAATTATCATTCCGCACAACGGGAAGCTGTAGCTGCCTGCAGTTTGAATTATCTAAGGAAGAGACAGTAAATTTCAAGCACTCATCTGGGTTGTTTGTTTTTTAAATTATTGTCTAATTTCTGTCTAAACAAACTTCTTCATCAGACTTACTGAGCCAACCAGAACCTGCATTACCATCTCTCCCATCCCAGCACTGGTCACCAGGACTGACGTCGCACATCCTGCAAACAAAACAAAATCATTTCTTGCTAAGTGAAACTGCTGCGATTTGTGACGAAAATATCTGTTTCTATATCTGTATTTTATGGTTTTGTTTTTAAATTTTCTACAATATTTGAAGGCCATAACTGCATTGTCATTACTGTGATTCTAAGAGCTCTTCCTACCCTGGTAGTCAAGGATGTCTTCAGTGTAGGCGAGCATGGAGGGGAATATGCTGCTGAGGAACAGGCCGCACAAACAGGTACCAACAAACAGGAAGATTTTGCTTGTGTAGAAAATTAGCAGCATCAACACAGTAACAATAGCACCAGCCTGAAAACACACACACAGAGGGGATTAGAGTGTGACTGTGATGAACGTCTGAATGCTGCGGTGCTGTTAATGGTTGACTGGATTTACCAGGTTAAACAAGAGCAGTTTGACAGGCTGAAAACGATAGGAGAGAGGGACGGACACCAGGCGGCCGGCGGTGATGGCTGCCCAGAAGATACTGGCCAGGTATCCTGCAGTCTTATGAGGCAGCGACAGTGGCTCCGTCACACCGTAGGTGTACACAAAGCCGGCGTAGACACCCTGACAAGAACAAAAGCAGGTTATTTTTTCCATGTTTACAGAAATCAATTGGCATTGTTCTGTAACCATGCACCGGTGGTAATTTTTAACAGGCAAATTGAATTCAGTTTGAGCAATTTCATTAAATCATAACCTTGGCGTAGTTCAACTTTAGTAGCTGTCCATATTTATCAAACTAACTTGCTATTAAATTGCTATTTATAACTACACATTAATGAGTATGAACATTCACTGAGAATAAACGTTTAAGAAAAGTTTTATTAAACAGGTGTTTTTTTTTTAAGGGGGCAGGAGGGGCGCTATTTTACGCTAACGTCGACTAGGACCATAGTGTCCATATGTTCTTAGTTTCTTACCGAACATCTTTTGGTGACACTACGTCCCACTGTTTCCGAAATTACTGTATAGTGAATTATATATAGCGCACTGTATAGTGGACTTATCGATTAAATGGAAGACATTTCGGACACTACTTTCTATTATCGTATGTAGGGTGAGGGGTGCGTTTTGCACACGGCCACAGTTCTCCCGCTCCAGGAATTTTGTCTTCTGTTTATTCTACTATCTGTTTTTCCGCCTCAGTTTACACGTCCCGCCTCCTAAACGACGAACTCCCACGTAGCTCTGATTGGCTCTCGCCGACCAGCGCTGATTGGGATAGGTCGCTGCACTAGCTTTTCGTCTCGTTCTAATTAGTTGACCAATACATTAATAAATTGCGTCATTGTCATTTAGCAACGCATAACTTCCGGTTTGGATTACGTTAGGTTCCTCGTAGGATGGAGGGCGTTGATTGAGACTTACAGAAATAAGTTTTTCTCCGCACTCACCACAATACCATCAGTCATAAAGAGCACCATTCCACCCAGGATATGAATCATAAAGAAGGAAACCGGAAGGCCACGCAGGTTATCATTCTGACAGCAGCTAAAGATATCGCCATGACCTGTCACGAAAAGAAAGGTAGTAGATAACGTACTGTAAACATAAGACTTTTGCAGTTTTTGTTTTGTTAAAATAAAACGCAAACAGACAACAATTCATAATAAATATAATTTACTTATTTTTAATATATTTCAATTCACTTTTTCCATGTTTTTATTTTTACCTCCAGCTTCATGCTCCTGTTCCTGCGCGTCTGGGCCCTCGGCCCCCTGCTGGTTCTCCATTGCTAATTCATCTTTATCCAGAAGGCGAGGAGTCCCGCTGTGACAGAAAGGGATGAGCTGCTCCCGATACATAAGAAACAGGACTGCAATGGGCACTGGCAGCTAAGGAGAGACTCAAAAAAATTAGAAATCTGAAAAGACACTTTTCTCAATTAACCTAGAAAAATAGCCTTGAAGATCTGTCCCTCGCATACATTAATAAGTGCCATGATCCAGAAAGCGTAGTGCACACTTGACTCCTCCGCCCCCTCCCCGTGGAGGAAGTCACTCTGATTTATGTCGTGCACCGCAACCGGACTGTTTCTCAGCATGCTCCTGAAATGATGAATGCTCTCCGTGTGGTTTCCTGTGTGATTCCCACAGCCTGTCTCTGAGAGGAAAGGGTCTGCAATCAGCGGGCTCACCAGGGCTCCAAACCCAATGAAGAAATGAAGAATCTGCATTGATTTGACGAAGACAGGCCCAGAAACATTTAGCCAAAGACATTTAAAAAAAAGGAAAAATAACAACATTGTACTGCTGTAGCTTTTTCCTTAAACAATACTTGTGCTGGAGGTAGTTTACCTGCAGAAACACAGCCGAGTCCCTCTGGTATATCGTCACCAGCTGAATGTTGGCAATGGTGTCAATGATGCCCATGGCCAGACCAGACACAGCCATGGCGATGGCCAGCAGGAGAACATTATTGCACAGAGGAATGATGGCAAATATTATCGAGATGACGACAGCAGAGACGAACAAGGCGGAGAGGGCGCTGAACAACCTTAAAAAAAAAATATCAAGAACTGTTTAAGGGACCACAACCCGAGGGAACATCACCGCACCAACTGGTGATTGCATCTGATGTGAATACTTACGTGCGTTTGAAAACACCACCAATGGAGCTGCCAATCAACAGGCAGAACTGCTGTGCAAAGAACACCCAGGTAATCTCACTCAGCTTTGAGTTGGTCTGACATTGCAAATCCAAGATGGTAGGCCCCAAAAAAGCAATGCAGAGTCCAAAGCTGAAAAAGACACTCCAGTAGGTCAAGGTGTGATGGGCATTCCGCTTGAAGAGGGTCACAATCCGTTCATCTAGGAACATCTTGACCGTGAGTAACTGTTCAGTAGGTTTGCTGAAGGATGATTTGTGTCACTTTTAAACCTTTTTTCTCTCTCTCTCTCTCTGCTCCCTCCTCTTTGCATTGCCTAACTGAAAAACTGAGTTTTTTTTCTGAGTTAATGTGTGAAGTTGAGGATTCTCCAATAGTAATGTCCCTATTGGATTGTCAATCATTGGCAAAGAATGTGTAACACACATTCTCGTCGATGTGTCATGGCGCTGCTAAAACTGATGTAAGATTCAGAAGGTGGTCGATGACTCACAGGCGTTTCATGGACACGTTGTCTGGGGTTTTTACCTGCTCAGTACTCGACTCACTGGCGTTTCATGGACACGTTGTCTGTGGTTTTTACCTGCTCAGTACTGTGATATTTGTAAATATCCAGAAGCCTGGCCAGCACAGAATAGAACAGATATGGGCAAACTAGGGCACGTGGGCCTGTAACGGCCCGCTGGCCTTTCTAATCCGGCCTGCCAAACATTGATTTAACTGATTTAATTTCTTCTGTTTCATGCATTGCAATGAATTGTAATTTCGGTTAATGCCACTAGATGACGGCAAACAACAGGTGTGACAAATGTTCTTTGAATGTTATGTTTAATCTTGTACATTACATGTTTAATGTTGTACATTTAATTTATATTATTTCTTTTTTTATATTATAATTTATATTGTTTCTTTTTTTATATTATTTATAAGAATAGAAATAATGTAAAAGTGGAGAAAAGGGAGGAGCTCTACAATAGTCGAACAAGGGTGTGAATTTTTTTTTTTTAATTTAGAATAAGGAGTAATTTTCAAAGAGACTTTTAAAAAAAAGTCTAAACAATTTCATTGTACTTTTTAAGATTGAAAAAAAAAAGTCAAAAAACGACTTGATCACTATCTAACCTGTTTCACCAAGAAAAACTACCTAATGCCTAATCTCCTCAATGGTTACACGAACTTTTCTGCCCGTGACCAAATATGAGCTTCCGACCAGAGCGTGAGTGAGTCAGTGAGTTAATCCGATTTGACAGTAAGACCCAGCACTAAATACAAACGTTTCTACTGAGGTGAACAATTCATTTAAGATTCCAAACTCTCACAATTACGTGCCGGCGTTGAACTGATGACGACTGTATTCGTCTTATATAATAATACAACACATACCTAGCATGACTTGGCTCAGTTACCTGCCTGTTGCCACTAAAGCCTGTTTTCAAACACGTTAATTCGGACTCAATTTCATTCAGTTTTCTTGTACATGAATCATATTTTCACTACTTCAAAAAAAAAAAAAACCCTGAGGGGGGTGTAACTGATTTGCCAAAGTTCTGCAAGGAAGCGACACTGCTCGGCTCACACCGGAGAAACATATGTGTTTGTACAAAAGACATTTATTAACACTGACTTCCTGTTCTTGAGATAAAACAACATAAGACGGCTCTGCGTGGTAATTGTCAACTAACATTTGTGGGCGACGTTAAAAATCAACACCGACTCCTGGTCAGTAAAGTAGGGCATCTGAGACGGCCGTCAGTGGTTTGAAGTGGTGATAGAAATACCAGGGTCAGCTTAAAAGTCCTACTGTTGAAATATGGTACAAGAAAAGAAGAAAAAAAAATCAAATGAGGTAATCGGTTACTTCTTCTTAATTAAGAGGGAACTATTACTTAATAGTCTCTGGTGGTTGAAGATTTTGAAAACAAAATGTTTTAAAAAATAGAAAATTAATAATAGAAAATATATAAGGACTACTCATAATGAATCACAATTGTAATTTATCATGATTATTCATGATTAGTCATGATTAATATTTAAAATTCAAAGTTATCAAAGAAAATCAAATCATTTTCTATTACTTCTACGTCTAGAACTATCACCACTACTACTACTGCTACTACAACTATTACTACTAATAATAAAACTACTACTTTTACTCGGTTAAAAGTCACCACTAGATAGCGTACTGACTCCAAAAATAATTAAAGACAGACACTAACCAAGTTGGTTTCTGCGGAATAATATGTGGAAACAGGCTGATCAAACAGTTACTACATTATGTTTTATTATTTTTATATATATATTTCCTGCCCTCTCAGCATTATTGCCCTCTAGGACTATTTAATCTTTTATCGTGAAGATTATTTTTTTTACTCTTTGTGCTCTTCATTCTCGTGGTGTTTCCAGGAACTAGGCGGTTTGTCCAACAGTTGTACATGTTTACTTTAAGGTCAATTCAAAGTCACTGCTCATCTCTCTTCTGTTTTTTTTATACTACTGTACATGTTATACCCATTAGCGGCCACTTGGTGGCAGAAGTTGATGGGTGCAAGCCCAAAAAACAGCCAGGTGGGGAGCCACTTAACCTAAGTTAATGAATGTGAATGATGGTCTGGAGAACTGTAGCCCCGCCCTCACCCATGACTACTGGGAGTGACTCCCTCCTATAGCCTTTTTTTTTTTTTTTTAAAAAAGGTCGACTTTAATTTCTATTTCCCTTATTATATTTTAATGTGATCATTTTTTCAAAATAAAATAACCTGCAGACTTATTTAAAAATACATCAAAATAAAACTTTTTTTTTGTGCGGCCCAAAGCCAAATGATCCACAGCCCAGTTCTGGTCCCCGGCCCACTAGTTGGGAATATCTGCCCCATAGCAATATGGTCATATTGGGACATCTATCCGTAACAGTTACAACTCTCAAGCGTTCCCTTGACCTTTACGACAATAATGACTACTACTAGTGAAGTACTTGTCGCTGTAGGGATGAAGTGTATTTGACATTTGAAGTCAGGTTTTCGAACTCCAGAATTCTCTCCTACTGCCAGAGTGCTCGTTTTATATTCATGGAAAAACTCTCACAGCTCCGGTCTTTGGAATTCGGAATCATCAGCGACGAGCGCCTCTCTCATTTCTTTCGATCTCATTTGTATGCTCAGATGTGGAGGTGACCACTGCAGCAGAGCTTCTCCTTCGCTCCGGTCTGGGTTATCTACCCACAATCCTCAGTTTTGGCTAAAAGGCGGCGTTTGATTGTAAAACGTTTGTTTTGATTGAACCCACCGGGGGGTAACAGGAACCCCAGGAACAGAGAGCAACCTTTGTGCAAAATGTTTTATTTTTTTTTAAATGAATGGAATCCTTTGTCACAGCTTCAGCACAGATAATAATGAGAACGCTCTGATAGAGAGTGTGACCTGAGAATTAATGAAGGGAAAATAATGAATTCCAAAAGGGGAGCAGGTATCTGCGTGAAGAGCTGAATCAGCTCAACTCCCTCCGAGGTTTGCTCCTGTCAGAGGCAGTAAAAGGGGAAACAGCTCATGCATGCAGCCGCCTGGCCAGATATGTTTGTTCACACAGTCGGACACGGCGGTGATTTATTCTTCTGCGTGATAAAAATTTGCCTTCCTGTTCCGCGCCGCTCCCTCTCTCCCCACACGGTTGAGCAGAGCAATGATGAGTGTCTCAGTGGAACCTGCTGAATAGTAATGAAGCCAGTCTGTGTCTATTTGAGGGAGCAAGGGGGGGGGGGGGGGGAGGCTTGCTGTGAGTGAAAACAGAGCTCCTCTTGCGGCAGCGATGCAGCAGCAGCCGGAGGACGAGTGACAAGAGATGATTTTAATCCCTGACACCATCACGGTGGCTCAGTGTCACACAGCTCGTTAGCCACACGGCAGACCGTCTCTCCTGAGTGTGACGTTCACGGTGACGGTGACGAGGGACGCGACTTCACGCAAACTCCAGACACACACAGTAAAAAGAGTCGGGGGAATTTGACGAATCTGTAGTTCACTCAGAGAGGCAGCGACGCCCGACGTCATCATCCCAGACTAGTCACTGTGGCCATGTTATATTGGGGGGAGGGGGGGCGATGCCCAATGCCTGTTGGGAGGTTGTCGGTTTGATTCCCAGCCAATAGGTGGAGCTCTGGTGTTTGGTGTAAGCACCGAACACAAAATCTCCACAATTTGAGCAATTTTTTTTTCAACATTTTAAAATGTTGTCTTTGATTTATGTATATTTTTTTATGGTGGGCTTTTTAACATCTTTCATGAGTGACTTTTTTCAATTGTACCAAGTCAGATATCCTTCTATGTGTAAAGGTACACGGCAAAAACATGTGATTCTGATTCTGGTTCTGATTCTGGTGGTGCTCACTGCACACTGTTTCACATCTGCCCCCCCGTAAATATGTACAATCACAGATAAAGCGCCCCCTACTGTAGAGATGACTTATGTCCTGCCCTTTGAAGGTGTTGCTTTAAAACGCCACTATTTAAAACATTGTAATTTCTATGAAAATAAATACACAATCTTTGGGATTCAAACACTCTGGCTAAAGAAAAGTTACAGAAAAAAAAAAATCAAGAGTTGAAATTTATTTGCCTTGGTCTGACCCCTCTGGCAACAGCTCCATGCACCCTAAAGGGAGCCCACTCCCCACTTTGGAATCCACTGTTTTCAAAGTGAGAAAGAAAAAAAAAAGCGTTGATAATTCTAGTCAAACAACGGCTGCTCTATAAAACCCAAGAACAGGAGACGAGGATATTCAGTGACTGGCTACAAGGATCAACTGAAGGGCCAGGACTGAAAGGGGAGGCAGGGATCGACAGCCCTCCTACCTCAGCCCCCCTTTTATCGTATCTCCATCCAGGACCTGTGGGCACGATGCCAACACGGAATCCTAAGAACTCATTCAGAGAAGAGCCGAAGAAAAGGAACTTTTGTCAAATCGGGAGCCGTTCTTTCACGGTGCCTCGTCTTCTCCTCACATTTCCCACGTGAGATGGTTTTCTCCAGCCCTGCATCTGAGGAGAACTCAGAGGGATTTCCTGAATTGCCATTCATTCAACGTTTTTTT